GTCTTTTCAGAGATTACCTCTAGAACGCTTAACGGAAGAAGCATAAATTCTTACGATGTCTTATAGTTCGAGAGCTTGCAAATGGCTGAGAGAACGCAGACATTGTTTTTGCAGGATTTTCAAATCTTTTGCGATTTAACAAGTCGACAAAAAATATCGGAAAATACGCTTGATGTTTCCCTTTCCCTATTTCTCTTTTTAATCTTTGGCACGTGTGCGTGAGCGCGTTTATCGTACACGCGAGTGTGTCGCGCGATGGTTGATATGGTAAAGTTTGTATCGATTGTAAGTACCGTTGGTTCGTTGTAACCATTGGTGGTTGAGTGTCTCGTCAGGTAACTTTTTAAATACCATTTATTCACTTTAGCTCGGTGCTTTACCGGTAGAGGTCCTATAATATATCAATGCCAACAACGTGCTCCATTCTCGTCTTTACTCACGCTTATTCAATCTTTCTTTTTTATTTTCTCTTTTTTTTCTTTACATTTTTCCATCTCTCTCGCTCTATGATAATGAAATTAACTCATCTGTTCTTTCATGCTTTTTTCTCGCCCCCTCTTTCTCTCTCTCTTTCTCTCTTTCTTTTGCTTGTTCACCCCTTTCTCTTTCCTACTCTATCTCTTTCTCTCTTTTTTTTCTCTCTCCCTCTAATCCGTTCGATACCCTGTATAACATGAAGTCTCTCTAGAAAGAATGTATACATCGCGCGGTGTTCCTCGTTAATCGAATAACATCGGGCAACGTGAACGTATTAAGCCATCGATAGATGTTGATCCGGATTATTAAATGTATTATGGTAATGTGATAAGAGACGAATGGATTAGGAAGATAACAACTGATAATAAATAATGTAACTTCTTATAATATTAATGAACGATGGAATGAGAAAATCATTATTTGTTTTTTATATATATATATATATTGTCGTTAAAGTGTACAATTTTATTTATTCATGAAATTGGTCTGACTTGAAATAATTAGGCCTTTATGGGGAAAGTACATAAAAGAATATTATATACTTTACAGTTGTTATACAAATTAAATAGCTAATATATGAATTCACGCGAGACAAGTAGTTTAAGTATAAAATTGAAATTTCATTCGTTTCTTAATATCCACTCTTATCTCTACCTGTATTTGGAAAACCAATGTTTTGGTACTTACATTGTTTTATCAGATCTAATCTACGAATCTAATTTCAATTTCATACTTTAACTACTCGTCCCGCCCCTCGTGAAGTCATATATTATCTTATTTTATTATGTAATTCTGTCTTATTTCATATTTTAACTGATCTACATAGTTATTTCATGGTTTAACTGTGGTTATATAATGAATAAATGGATTTCACACTTTAATGGTAACTTATACTTTTTAGTTTTTTTTTTCATTGAACGCTGTCGTCTCTCATTGGAATTATTATTAAATCATTTTGTTCACCGGTATATTATGGCACCATCTAAACGTCAATTAAACATTGTTATTTAAAAAGCGCAGCAAGTCGTTTGATTCACACTTCCCCTGGGTGTGCAATTTAAGCACGGCGCCGCGCCGTTTAAAGGAAAGAACAATTATAGGGGATTCCATGGCACGCGACTAGCGTTATCCTCTTCCTTTGCCTGTACTCTCTTTAGTTTTCTCTGTGTATTTTTTTTCTGCTCTCATTAACAATGTCGAAATAGGATTGAAAGAAGAAAATTGATGAATTTATTGGAATAACTTTATGAGATGCATATATCTATATGTGAAATATGATAATCAACTTTTAAATGTTGATTTTAAAACATTTGACGTTTAAAAATTTAAAGTTTAAAATATTACGAAAGATTGAAAAATGGTTAAAATTTAAAAAAATTGTCATCAAAATAGATAGAATAAAATTAAAATTGTTTATTTTTCATTATTAGATTTATAAAACTATATTGTTCTTACACTTTCAGAGAAATTGTAAGAAATACGCGTTAGAAAAAATATTATTTAAAAATAATTGAAAACTATAGATTACAATTGAAAATAGTACTAATGATTTACTGAGTCCACGTTTAATTAACGTTCTTTCGCATAATCGAAGCTTTGCCATAAAACAAAAAAAAGATGAAGAAGAATGAAAGAAAAAGAGAACCGATAAAAGTGTTTAAAAATGAAAAATCCTCAAACGCTTAAGTTAGCTTGCTCGCGTTAAGGATATAAAAGAGGTTTATCGGTGTTACGTAGAGATGTTTGATTTAAATCGCGCGTCACGATAGGTGAAATATAATAAAAGCTCCGAGAGAAGGACGATTCTTACCAACGCGATTTATGGATACGGAATAAGAGAAAAATCAATAATCGACGCGACGCACGACTCTCTCCGTATACGCATATATGTATATAACATATATATACATATATGCGAGCCAGCAAAACGATTTGCTAATACTGCTGAAGGGTATGTCGTAATGGAGTGAATTGGAACTTTCATTTTTCGAAGGACGAAACTTTTACGGTAAGGAACGAATCACCATCGTCGCTATTTTTTTTTTTTTATTTCACCGAAAACTTATTTCGGAATGAATCTTACATTTTTTTCTATTCCTCCGGTCAATTTATACTGATTGTAAGAGGAAAGATAAAGATAAAAGAAGAAAAAAGAAAAAGAACAAGAAAGATAGAATAAATTATTTTCTTATTTATCGAGTTATCGTTTTTATTTTCATGCATGAAGAAGAATAAGAGTGGTTCGAGATATCGATAAGGATGAAACAAATTTCTGAAGAAATTTGTTGAATTACCATCAAACAATCGATTGTAATTGAGATCAACATTTTTCTTTACTACCTTGCTATCAAAGATAGATTTTACGAAATCGTTTCAAACGGTGGCTCATATCTCTTTCTCTTTCTCTTTATCATTCTCTTTGAATAAAGTACGAAAGAGAACCGAAGTAGCTTTGAAGTAACGTAATTAAAGGACAAAGGAGATGACGGATATATTTCCAGGAGAAGTCGTTGGCCCAATATTGCTTCCTACCTCTATCATAGGCCTAACAAAGAGAAAATGAACTATCGGACGATCGAACGTCAATATTATCGAGCTGGTTGTTGGCGTTCCAGAAAAGAAAACTTGGTTGAAGAGTAGGAAGTGGTAGTGGAGGAGGAGGAGAATAGGAGAAAGAGGAAAAGGAGAATACGGAGCATGCAATAAATGAATAACAATATAAAATCTTAATGATCGTTGAACGAAAGCATGCTTCCTTCCTTTCCTCCCTTCATTCAATTGTAACATTTCAAGCGGTTTTTGAACCATGTCGGACGTAATAGAAAACTCGATAACTAGCTCGGTTTCCCAAGTAAGTTCGTAGAATTTTCGTCTTTTCCACGTGTATATGTATAAAAAAAAACAATGTTATATGGAACGTGAAAAGTTTTTCCGAACACCTCCTTTCAATGTTCCTCTTCTAACTACATCAGAGAGCTCACGCTACCCCCTATACACCCCCTTCCCCACCCACAACTAACGGCCGATGCGCGTCGACGTTGGCAAAGCGAAGCCGGCTCGTAGTTTCTTTAGTTTCTTCAAAAAGAATGACGTGTTCCGTTGTTCCCCGTGTGTTCTATAGTGAGAGGCCGACATTAACGTTAAAGTAACACACACGTAAACGTATCGCGGTGATGTTGTACCGTGATATGGGGGAATCCGCGGGGCCAACGACCACAAATTCGTCTCATATTAAATCACGCTTAACTCTTATTTTCCTGAACACCTGTCAGTTATTTCACGGGTAATGCTTTTTATTCAATCGCAATTCGATCGAAAGAAAATATTTAACGTAAGGTTTAGTGATGTTAGTAAAGTTAACTTCGATATGAAAATGTAGAATTAATTATAGAATAATAAATACTTGTAATATAAAATACATATAACATTTTGTGTCTTTGTGAATGATATATATATATATATATATGCAATTGAATGAATATATGGATTATATTATATTATTATAAAAAAGTTTGAGATAAGAAAATGAATTTAATGATTATATTTGATTTAATGAAAAAGTGGGAAAATAAATAACATAGTTTAAAATTAGCTTGTAAATTTTCGTCAAATAGTATCGAAACGATAAATATAAATAATGGGAGGGCTTAGGTTTGAAAAAGAAGGAAGGTAAAAAGGTGGAACGCGAGTGGCTGATTAATTTGAACGTGTAACGCTGTACTCGGCGCCGGCGCGAACACCTTGCAAAGGTGGCCCTCCACCGTCCCGGTACTATTGGCACAAGTAACATTATCGTTTCTACCTTGGGGTTCTATTACCCTTATTGTTATACTTAGAGTTAGCGAACTATAGCCTGCCGCCGCGACATCGACGACCGCAGGCCACGTGGCTCCAAGCGTGTGGCCACGCATGTATTCAAACAACTCCGGCAGTCACTACTTGCTCACCAAATAGAGAGGTGTCGACATTTAATCCGACTCCGATTATTATCGAATATCTTTTCTTTCCTTTTTCATATTCTAATTTTATTTTATTCGACTTTTATTAGAAATAATAATCGGATATTTTTGAATGATTAAGTATAAAAGTGCAAAAAAAATGAGAGGGAAAGAGAGAGAGAATTGTTCTACTAGATCAATGTAATACAGGATCAATAATTAAAAATATTCAATACAACTTGTTGGAAAGCAAATATGTAGCTATTAATATTCACTTATCGAGAAATGGAAATGAGTTTGTTGTTTGTCATTGATCCCTTCTTCGTTAATTAATGAAAAGTAAAAGAGGTAAAATAATGCGGCGGTAAAGGATCGATCTAGGATCCTTCACCCGCTTTCATGTTAAATAACCATACGTATGTAATGTGATATTGAAGTATTTTACACGAATTCTAGTTCTATACTTCTTCAAAGATGTTACGAGTCATTATCTGGCTATAGTTTCAAATCTTATAGTCTACGTTAGTGTAGACTAATTTTGGAAAAGGATAATCGTTGGTAATGAAAGAAGGATAGATAACGTACCGGGTTCGGCAAAAGTGATAATCTCCGATGTTCTCGCGTAAAAATCATCCAACTCTTCCTGAGGCTCGTATTCCGATCTAGTGTCGTAATCCCTGTACTCCTGGTAGGACGTGGTAGTTCTGGAATTAGCATCAGTTGTCGTCTCCTCGTTTTGCTGATCAAGATTCTTATACGAGTACTCTTCATCACCGTAAAGGAATTCACCGGAATATTCGGTTCCGTGAACATTCCGCATTCTCTCTGGATACTGCGGCGGTGGTTGAGCTTCGGCTCGGTATAGAGTCTCCAAAGCGAGGTGCCTTGGGACAGCAGCCAAAGTCCTGTTCACGTCAGGCCGTGTTCTTAAGCCCAATTTCGATAGTATCTGATGTTTGATTGCTTCCAATCTGAGATCGTCGGGACTCGGCGTAGTCCCATGCTTTCCGCCACCTCGATGGGTTTCGCGAAGGTGCGGATGTTGAAGTGGCTGATGATTACAACCGGGACAGCTCGGATGATTGTTCTGTCTCGGTTGGACGGGTGGTAGGGTCAAGTAACAAAGGACCAGTCCGATAAGAAGAAAATTGGAAGGTATCAGGAGACCACCCCCATATCCGGAGAACAATTTAGGCGACCGAACGTGGAAGCGTCGCGTATTTTCATCTCTTTTTTCGGTATACTCGAAGACTCGGCTCGATCGTTCGTAAACAGCGACGTTGTCACCTTCTTCCTCTCGACGAAGCCGGCAACGAGACCATTGTTGTTGCTTTTGTTGTTGTTGTTGTTGTTGTTGTTGCTGCTGTTGCTGCTGCTGCTGTTGCTGCTGATGATGTTGCTGATACTGATGGTGATATTGGTGTCGTCGTTGATTCCGTTGTCGTTGGTGATGACGGTGCCATTGCCGGCAACATTGGCTCTCCTCTCCGAACTTGGTGATTCGACCTTCGTTCGAGGTGAGTCCCACTCCGTACGGCACCTGGTGCATCTCGGCGGCGAGTCACCTCCTCCTCCCCCACCACCTCCTCCACTTTCCTCTCTTTTGCTTTCCTTCTCGAGCGGCCGACCCAAGGAGCAGAACCCTATCTCCTTCCTTTTTTTTCCTCTCCGAGGCGGAGATTCTATGATTACAAAAGGTCTCGATTTCTCTACTATCACTACTATCGATGCTACCAATACTATTTTTCTCCCTCTTACTAGTTTTCGTTCTTTCGGTACTACGGAAAAGAAGAAAGAATACCGTAAGGAAAACGGATCTAATTCGGTGCCTATCAGCGATGAGAGCTTTCCTTGGCTTGCACAGCTGCGAGGCGAGGCTGCGACAACGACGGCGACGACGACAAAAACGCGGACACGACGATAACGCGACGACAGCGTGCAACGACGGTGACGACGGCGACGATGACGATGACGACGACGGGAAGAAGGCATCCTCGCCTAAACCCCCCATTACTAACGATCCAGTGCCGGTGCTTCGGGATCGATTTGACCGACACGCTGGACCACCGTAATCGGGTACACCCTGCTCGTTTTCTCGGCCATTCGCGCTCCCTTCAAATACGCGCAAGGCACACGCAGGATCGAGCTTCGCAATCCCACCTTTTTACGATTCACCGACTGTTCATCAACCTGCTTAATATCGATCCTGATCTTTTTCGGTTCTCTTATTCTATTTTCTTTTCCTCAAAGAATCTAATCTTTTTCTTCCAAATCAAGGACACTTGTTCTACGTGTACTACGCTTTCTCCTTTCTTGACAGATTCTACACGAGATTCTGTCTTTCTCCTTCCCTCTTTCTATTTTTTTATCTCTAAAGTTCACAAAAGTAAGAGAAAGTCTAGCGTTCTAAGGTCTCCTCGACTTTCTTGGACACTTTCTATGCGTACTTAATGCTGCACTACGACTAAGCCCTTCGGAGGAGTGCACCATTTAAAAGTTTGGCGCGGTCCAATAAACAAGAATATCCGACGACATCGGCAGACACGTTGAGATCTCTCGGTTAGAGAAGATCGTCGCGACGATCTATCGCGCCTCTCTTGCGTTCTTATCCCTCCTGACAGCACGTCGTCTTCTTCGTTCCCCTCGTTGTCGTCGTCGTCCTCCTCTTCCTCGTTATCGTTGTAATTATCCGTCGTAACACGTTCCTTTGGAAAATTTTGGATAAGCCAGCAAGGAACTCGAGTACGCACTCGAATGTTGGATCCAATCGCATCTCCTCTTTTCTTTATATGAAAATCAAAGAAGAAAAAACGTTCGGTCTTGTTGTTACTGCTGGTATGTCTTTATTTATTTATGTCTTTTTCGCTGGTATTGTCGTTGTTATTGTATTTTCGTCGATAACAGTTTTTGAAAAATCCCAAATATCCGAATCAACATTGTAGCGATTCCAGTCGTTTTGAGATACTTTCTAATGATCCTTAATCCTTCCCGGTTTTCGTCGCTTGCGACCTTTTCCGATTTCGGACCACTTGATTTCGCGAGGACACGGGTAGACTAGCATCGACGAAGGAGGACGAAACGCCAAAGGATCTCTATAACGAGCGAAGCACGCTTGTCGGAGGCGCGCCGGACACTGAGGGGCATCCACCACCACTACCAACACACACAAGTACACCACCACCGCTCTACGATCAGCGCTACTAACAGTGGCAGCAGCACCGGCACCGGCACCACCACCGCCACCACTATCACCACCCACCAACGAGACACTATCTACCCATCCACCTACCCACCCTACCAGCCATGACGATATAGCTACTCTACGACGCTCGGCTAAACTCTTCATAAACTCTTTATATAGGTGGTCCCCCGTATAACGTGATGGTATACCGTTCGAAATGCGCTAATACATACCTTCACTTGTGTACGTGTCTTCAAGTTTCTGCGAACACGGAAATATAGTCGTGTAACGTAACCATCCCAGGGTCGGATGATGATCTCTTCGAATCACCAAGAGATAGATATAGATAGATAGATAGATAGATAAAAATAAAGAAAAGCTAAGTCCTATTCTTTCTTCTTTCTAACAGCACCACCTCTGCTATAACGATCAGCAGCAGTAGCAGCAGCAGCAACCCTGCCGCCGATACCGGCGCCACCCTGACATGAAAAAGGGAGGACGGAAGAAGATCCGTTCTTCTAGCAAACACGTGGTTCACGCGTGGTACTCTTCAGTCAAATTTTCCTCTTCTTCGTGCTTTACGTTTCCTTCGGAATCCTCAAATGAAACAAAAAGCAAATTTTCAAGAAATCGGACTTAAGATAGAAGGATCTTTTCTTTCAGACATGCCTTATCACTTCCTCTTATAATGGCAACGTTTCGACGTCGTCGCTGATATTCTCGGCGTCGGGTCTCAGGATGGTGGTTAACGTATAGAACTAACGTAGAACATAGAAAGAGAGAAAAAGAATAGAAAGAAGAAAGAAAGAGAAGCGAGTTAGCTGTAAGCATATTGATCAGGAGGCAGTAGTTGGCCGCATGCCACGTGGTGATGCTGAGGCGCCGGTCTCTCCTCCTATTATGAGCCAAGACTCCTATCTTCGTCTTTTCCTTTCCCTAGGACTTTCTTATTCCTTCCGTAGTAGTATTTTCTAGAGGATTCCCTCCTTCCCTTCATCCACCCGTTTGCTCTCTTGTCATTCTTTTCTTTCTATTTTCTTAATCTACCCTTTTTTTCTTTTTTCTTTTTGAACTCTCCTATGATTCTTTATAAGAAAAAGAGGAAGAAAGGTATAGGAGAAGAAACGTAATATGTGCATGTAAAAATGTATAGTTTCTCCGCGACACGTAGACCTATACTAACTTATATTATCTCTCTCGCGTTTTATCATCCAAGATAATTTTGTATATTTTCCTCGCATTGATTCGATTCAACCGAACCTGCGTGCTCGAAAGCGTTTAAATTGAGATGTCAAGTTAACAAGCTTACTCTCGTTGCTGAGGTGTAAAAGACCGCTCTCTTCCCAATCTCTTTCTCTCGCTTTCTCTCTCCCTCTCTCTCTCTTTCTCATCTTGTACGTTCGCCGCAGGTAGCGGCAACCTTGAAAGCAAAAGGTTTGAAAAAAGGCAAAGGAGCTCACGTTAAACTCGGTCGACTTCAGAGAGAAAGGGAACCGCCTACTTGGGTGGCTACCGGTTCCTTCCTTGATCTATTACTACTACATTACATTTCACTTATCTTTATTTTTTCTATCTTTTTTTTTTTTCCTTTCAATTTCGCCTTTTCCTGCGAGATCTCATCGATACTTTAGAAACTTCCCTGAAATCATATTCATTCTAAATATGACACTTCCCATGATAATAATATTTTTTCTTACGTTAAATCGAATTTCCTTTTTATTTGCAATCGGTAAAGAGATTACTTTACTAAGCTTTTATTTGAAATTATTCCCTAATTTTTCAACAGTGGTTGTCTTTAAATTAAAAGAAGCAGTTGGGACTAATATTTTTATCATAGCAAGATATGAAAATATTCATTGATTTTTTAGGAAGAACTAACTTCTTCTATGACAACTGCTCTGTTTTACCCTCGATCGACACGATCAGTATTTACTTCCTTACTTGCTACGGTTAATGTTTAGAGATAACATGGCCGCCGTTGTCTCTATTTATGTCCTTAATTTAATATCATCTTTGCTTACAATTAGAGATCGTTTTATCTTATTAAGGTCAGAAACGAATTGGTTGCTAGTTCGAAATCAAGTTGGGAAGACTTCTTGTCTTTTAAACGTCGTCAATTCGATTCTCAGAAAGATAGACACTTAGAGGTCAGTTCCTCAGTAACTAATTGTTATTTTGTCAGTGGTCACGGTCGAGTTCGTATGCATCGGCTCTCTAGCAACGTGACTCTTTTAGAACGTCTAATGGTAAGGTGTGACGCTGATAAAAGAGAAGAAAAGAGATAGAAAAACAAAGAATAACAAATAAAGAAAGAGAGGAGAATGTGACGCACGGCATGCGTTTACCCATGCAAATTAGATTGATCTATCATTGTCTTGTCTGGCTGTCGTCTCGACCGTTGATTGCCAACAAGGCGAATATCATCTTCCTAGAATTTTAGGGGGTATTGTTACTTTCTTTTATTTTGTTACCATTTATCAGTGCATCAACCCTGACGAAGCAACTTTAGCGATTTAGCAAAATATTGTTGAATTTCGACCATCCGTAATTCCATTATTTTTATCTTACGGATTAGAACCAAAAAAGTTTGATTCATCATCTACTAAAAGAGATTAAAAAATAAAAAACTAGCTGTGCTATAACAGGGGAAACCTGCAATTACTTATAAAAAGGAACAATCAAATCGTTAGTTACTCGTCGCGTATTCATTGAGAAAATGTAATTAGGAGAGTTCCAAACCCCCCGAGTTTGACGACATCCGACTGAAAATGAAATAAACATGGGAAGAGAGGAAAGGAATGAGAAAGAAAGAAAGAAAGAAAGAGTTGGCATCGCTTTCGCGGTAGGTTTGATTGAATGCGGATGTGCGTGCAGCCGATGCCCGGTGGTCGACAGCCACGAATCGGGGGAAAATTATAGGTAGTCCTTTTTCGTACGTCGGGTAGTTCGATGTTATCTACCTTCTTCTTCCGGGAATTTCGCAGTATAAATAGGATGGTCGGTGGTTGTCGGGAGCGAATACTCGCGAACACTTGCGACTATTTATGATTACTCATGCTGTTGCGTACCGGTGCCTTGATCGGTACTATGGTATTTATCTATCGCAGCAAGGTATTAATAGGATGTGAATGTGAATCGATTGTTATTATTTAACTATAATGTAATTGGGGAACGCTATTGCGTTCCTGGTATGTTGTTGCTGAAAAAGTTGTATGATTGCAGAACACTGTAGCGTTCTTGCTTGTCGTTGCTGCTTGCAAGGCGAATGCTGCGATTAGGCCGATGCTGTGTGTATTCCGATGCTGCTTGTAGACTGCTGCTGCTTGTAGACTGATGTTATGTGAATCGTGAGTAGTGGCGAAGTAGATGCTGATGCTGGTTCTTCAAGGGTTTTTATAGTAACAAATCGGTTTTCGAAATCCCTTCCCCAAGTTGACCAATAGTAGAAGGGTCCATCTTCCGGGGTCTCCCGATGGAAGAGCTTATGCTTTCAGTAAGGGTTATAGTGGAGTTTAAGAATAAAAAAATTTTCTATATGAGGAATGTCCTTTCTCTCTGTGTTATTGCATGTTTACATAGGTATCCTATACCACTCGAGGGGCCTAACAATGCACCAAGGCTTTGTCGCACTGATGTTTCTCGATAATCTTTGAATTTCGGATTTAATGGCCTTCTAGAATATTCTCTTAATCTTTGAATCGAGTTTTACAGCTCGAAAATGTACTGGAAAATGTGATATACAAGTCACGCCTTACGTTGCGTGCTACGCAACACATGCGATCGTTTGCACTTTGACATGTTAAACCAAATATTCGGCAATCGACTTTCTTATAGTCCTTAACGGATAGATAGATATATCGAACATAAGTATTCTGTCACAAAATGCTAATGTGGTGAATATGACCACCCCCAATCCTATAACATTACGATGTCCGATATTTTTTTTATTGTCTTGAGACATCATCCTATTTAATATCTGTTATTTTTCAGAATAATCGGTCATTCCAAGAAAAAATTATTCTTTCGTTCTGTTTCAATCCTTTCATCGATAAAAATCCCCTAATTGGAAATTTGGTAATAACGAATCCGTGGTTCTAAATAAGAACCATTCAAATCATTGAATCTAAGCTATTTGATTGGTATGTACTCGATCAGGATTTCAACGTCATCGAGTGTCATCGTAGACTGTCCGTTGAGTGAGTGATACCGGCTCACCAGGACAATGGGGCGGCCGTAGCGTTCGATAAATCGTGACATATCCGTGAGATAACGCCATCCCTTTTCACGTTGTTTCCCTCAACCCTTTAATCTCGGTGTAACACGGTCGAAAGAGGACAAAGGAGGTGAAGGAAGAGGCGAAGGAAGAGGTAGTGTCGTCGAGGAGAAGGAGGAGGAGGAGAGAAGTTGGCTTGGCTACTTTATACTCGGAGGCTACCTGCCTGCTTGAAAGGGGAGGTATTACGGGGTTACTAAAGTATTGTATGGCCTCCCCAAGCCCCATAAGGATAGCCCTCAGGCACGCACCCCCGTTATCGTATGCGTATGCAGTTTTTTCGCTGGTGCGTGCGCGGGGACGCAGCCCTTATATGTGCAGTGAAGGTGAAGGGGGCATCGGGTAACACGGGCAGGCAGCCACCCAAACGACCGAAACCTGAATGCTCAACCGGGAAGCGACTTTTTGCTATGCTAAAGGTGTGCTTACCTCTTTTCGTTTTTATTTTTATTTTTCCTTTTCTTCCTTTCCTTGCTCTTATTTCTCATCCTTTCTTGTTGTCTAACGAACCTGAACCATCATGATGAATAGGGGCCAATGCACGAAAACAGGTGATTCGGATGACAACTATAACTTGACTATTTAGAATCTTATTTTTTTCCTTTAATTTTTCGTTTTTTTTTTCACCTTTGGAATATATCTATAATAATATACATAATAAAATATGATTTTAAAATAAATAAGTAG